AGAGAGAGAGAGAGAGAGAGAGAGAGAGAGAGAGAGAGAGAGAGAGAGAGACAGAGATACAGACAAACAAACAGACAGAGACAGGTTTATTTGGTCTGTGTAGTCTGCACCTATCAACAATCCGAAACTCTCAGATGGCTATTTATCCGGATTCAGAGCTGGGTTTTTCTCTGATCGTAATTGTTGACATGTTCGACACGTTCCATCCGATATATCTATTCCTGGTAAGGTGATAGGGAGAAAGGGTGTGGGGGAAAAGGGGGGGGGGAGGATACCCCTTTTAACATTGTAAGGTCATTCAAAAGGCGGCCCCCGATTTAAGTTAAATCTCCATAAGGACTGGGCCCAGAAGCTGCCAAGAGTGAACATAATAATGTTGCTTGATCTAGAACGTTGAGTTAGGAATCAAGCAAGGGTCATCTTCACTGAAGGTCACCATAGCATCATATTTTCTTCTTCTAGATTGTAAAACGACGGATCCTAGTTCGAATCTCCTGCCCTTGAATTGACTCGGTTTGAAGACATGTTATGTTTCTCCACTATACGAGTCCCCCCCCCCACACACACACACAACTTAAAACAACCTATCCATTTATTATTAGAAAGTTGCTCTAAATTCGATGCGTATCAGACTTATAGTTTCACAGGTTTTAAATACACGGAGGGCTATACCAGCAAGAAGTTACTGATATGTGCACCGTCTTGACATAAATCATGTCGTGAGCCCTCAAATAATATTGTAGTTGCTTGCCTGTTGGTTAGTGTATCAGTCTGCCTGTCATAGAATCCCCCAAGCCCGCCTGTTCAAAAGACGATCTACATTTCTCCGAATATAAAAAGAGCGTTACATCGTAGCCCACGCAAAAAGAAGAACAAGTTGCGTCCTCACACGGCAGCAATGTTCCTGTCGACGCCGGTGTTAAATGACACTTGTTTACCGGAGACACATCACATGCTACACTGCCCATCATGTCTCCGACACAAAGGAAGGCGCTGAGGACGCCACACAGAACCCTTCTCCGGTGACACAGCCGGATCTGCACCACAAGACTGATGCGCCAGTCTAACGTTCTCGGATTGTCTGAATAAAGAAAAACGTAACGTGTCGCTGTGTTAGCAACATGCATTATTATTATGTTCTACATTTATTGCGTATCTGTTTTGATAATATTATTTTAACCCTATCCGTACGTCGTGTTTTACTATCGTATCCATACGACGTGGGGAACTCTGTGCCACCACTTAACCCTATCCGTACGTCGTGTTTTACTATCGTATCCATACGACGTGGGGAACTCTGTTCCACCACTTAACCCTATCAGTACGTCGTGTTTTACTGTCGTATCCATACGACGTGGGGAACTCTGTATTGGAGGCTGTGAATCCAAAGAAGAAATTTACTGGTTAATCCGATCCGTGCGCTTTGCATAGCAGTCTGTCAAAATGATTTTTGAGTGATACTGGAAAGTTTCAAAGAGATATTCGTACTAGAAGGATTCTAAAATGTGAAAAATACAACCCCGGGGTTACAAAATAAGCCCAGGCGTACGGATAGGGTTAAACTTCTCGCTGTGTTATTATTATGTTCTACATTTATTGTATATCTGTGTTGATAATGTTAATGCATGTGTACAGGATAAACCTTGATACATGCATTCAAAGATACGTTCATGTTTCTCTTCACTTTAAAACAAGTTCTTTCATTCACGTTTATAGTTTGTAGCTTTTGAACTCTGGCCTGAAAGATAATATTAGATATTGGATGCAGTTGGACAGAGGTGGAGACTGCAGCACAGAACAGCTGAAGTAGATGTAAGCAGATATATATTATTGTCGGTGGCCTTTTTATACTCCGATATAGTTTGAGAAAGGCTGAAGAGAACGTTTGGAGAATGGTTAATTTTTTTTAATGGACGCTAAAATTCAGTAATGGTTTCAGCAGCATTTATATATCATAATTTGAGCATCTGGCTCTATTGCTTGAACTGAGATAATAAAGAAGATACTAGATAAAGATTGTCATTCCTTGACTTTTTAAGTCACATTTTCTCATACATAATTCTTTTTTGTTTCTCTCTTCTTTCTCCAAGATCGGGGAAAAGGGGAGGGGGTGGGGAGGCAGGAAGCGGATTTACGATTTTAATAATGCTGATCTAACTTTCGGCTTCAGCGCTGTTACTTTTTGTTCTCGAAAGATCTATCTGTCCTCGGCCCGCTAGCCACAAATGGTCTTCCTTTTTTTCTATTACCAGGAGGCTCTCCGTGCGTGTCTCGTCTCTCAAAGACGTCGCTCTCGTCAGCCGCGGGCAAAGCCGCCTGATGTACTCTGGGATTAGTCCGCGGATTTGTTGTATTTTTAAGTCACTTCTCATCTCAACTCGACGTCGCCCCTCCAGTCTGACCAGCGATGCATGTGAGCTGAGCAAACAGAAGTACGTGCGCGCGTCAATGATCGCTGTAATCTGTCTAAATTTGAGGTTTCCGCCGGGGATTTGTCGGGAATGTTAGGCAAAATGTTGACATTTTGTTTGGTTTCAATCCCCCTAGATTTTCTCCCCTCGCGGTAAGGATACCTGTTCTGTGAAATATGAATTTTGAAATTCAAAAAGAGTTAGATAATTTGTTCAGGATACGGACATACATGTAAGAATGCAGCGAGGTATGAACTGTTAATAAAATTCCCTGTTTCCGGTGCTTTGATGAGTCATATGTTTGACTTGCAAATGCGAATTCTTAATATAGTTTTCTGGTTCTGTAAAGAAGCAAACTAGGAATATAGACCGACAGATTGAAAAGCCAGCAAAGAGAGCAATGAAGGAAAAGCGGCAAAGAAACTGTAATCGTCTAGAAAGGGAAAAGGATGTTAATTGGATGACAGATTAACTTTTTGCTTCAAATGGCGGTAACGTCACAGCGCGCGAGTGTGGTCTACTACATGCAGGGGTTATAGAAAGGACAGCCGTGTCTGTAATGTCGCTGTTAGGTGCCTCGCAGGAGACTCGAGTTCAGTTCCCAAGTGGGGAGAATTTTTTTCAAGTGTCCTCGGTCTTTCTTCTGGGATGTTGTATCACTCTCCGCCAGGGTTGGACCTGACAGGCAGGGTCGAAGCCCGCCTCCAAAATGTCCTAAATCGTGTCAATGTGGACGTAAAAACCTGCTGCGTTTTAAAGTATCGGAAGGGACAGCATTCTGGGTAAATTATGGTATTATAACAGTACGTCATGGTATGGAAGATGGTGGGAAAAATCGGGGGTGGGGGGTGGGTGGGGCGGTATAATGTAACGTGCAACAAGTGATGAACAAAAAATCCTCTATGCCAAAATATAACCTGGTATCCACCCCATCGAGACAGTTCACATGCAGAAACTGCACCACTAATGTAAGCATGTGATGGTATTCCAGATTGAACTTTTTTTTGACATCGAAACAATTTGACGTTTTCGCAACATAACCATGATATAACAGCGTGTCGGCGTGGCTTCAGTGTGGTGTGGAAATGTGCAACTATGAGGGATAAAGCAAACCAATAGAAAATGTATATAAAAACCAGAAAGAGAAGTAGATTTGGATTGGACACACATCGAGAAAAATAAAAACCAGCATCACCCACAAAGCCCCAAGTTGGAATCCACGAGGAAGGAGAAAGAAGGAAAGGCCTTAAGGTACTTGGAGGAGGATGATGATGATGATGATGATGATGATGATGATGATGATGATGATGATGATGATGATGATGATGATGGTGATGATGAAGTATCGGAAGGGACAGCATTCTGGGTAAATTATGATATTATAACAATCAATAGAAAAAGTATAGAAACCAGAAAGAGAAGTAGAATAACAATTGAAAAGCCCTCAAAAAGAGGAGTGTGGTGTTTTAATACCTTCTTTATACAATGATGATGATGATGATGATGATGATGATGATGATGATGATGATGATGATGATGATGATGATGTGACAGCAGGGCAGTTTCGACATCGTGAGTGCATGGCTTCCCATGTAACATGTGACATAAAAAGTGGGGCCCAGGATCCCCTGTACCAGGAATGAAAAAAGGGAAAGAAAGACAAACTGATCACGTGACAACTAGACGACATGACAGCGTGACAGCTTGACAATTTGAATGCATGCCAGCATTACAGCGTGGAAATTTGACAACTCGACAGTGACAAATTGACAATATTGTACCAACATTACAGAGTGGCAAATTGACAATTTGACAGTGATAATTTGACAATATTATGCCAATATACATCGTGGGTGTTTGATAGCTTGACAGAGTGACAATTTGACAACATGACAACACTACAGTATAACAATTTGACAGCTTGACAAAGTAACAATCTGACAACACGACAACGTTACACCGTGACAGTCTAATAACGTGACAACGTGACGATGTGACGGTTTGGCGTTACACTTACCTGGCGGGCATTGGCAGCTCACTTGTCTCTTTTCTATACTCCGTATGTTTTGGTCGTCCTGAAATGATACAAAAACGACTTATCAGTTTTGATAGTGCGATATACGAGGATAAATATGGGTGTGTTTTAAGTAAATACTTTACAGCACTTGCAACACAAACTTGTCATACAAGTGCCGAAGTTTTGAGGTGCTACTGCAGAGCAATACACTAATAAAAGGAAGGAGAAGAGATAAGGACGATAGATATTCGATAGAGAAGAAAGAGAAAACCACACCAGAGCACCTGACAACCACACACCAAGTATGAGTTTTGTATGACGATGCAAAATGAAAGATAAATATGGGTTGTAAATTGTGTATAGTTTTAACGCCCCTCTCTGGGTTATTTAAGCATTTCATGAATGTTCCTTATTTCTTTTTAAAGTAAAGTAAGTGTATGGGTTTAATACCATATCAACGCTGTTAGGATATTTAAGAGACGTGACCTCCGAATTAAACGTCCTTCCTAAATTAGGCAAGCCAAAATGGATGGCAAGAAACCAACACCTATCCTAGCATATCGCATAATTTTACATATCCAATACTCAGGGAGGTCCCTTAGCTCAGCTGATATCATGCTGGTTGGCGGAAAGGAGGACCTTGGTTCAAATCCCCAAGAGGGAGTTCTGGACTGAAGCTGTTTTGGCAACTTTTGAAAGCTCTCCACCTATTTGGCTCAGTGCCGACAGAGACGGGCGTTAAATTCGGTGGTCCCACCTCTTAAAAAAACAAACAAACGTACAGTGTTTTAAAAAAACGCAATAATCCAATACAATTTCTCATTTTAGATTGTGTAGCATTTAATAGCCTTAAATTATTCACATACGCACGCACACACACATACACACGCACAGGCACACACACACACACACACA